TATAGTGATTAGTTCTTGGGGGAACCCATCTTCACAGAATTGCTGCATACTATAGTGGAGAAAAGATCACCTCTATGTTCTTCAGAGGTTTGAAGCTTTCAAAAAGCTTGTTCTAGTTCCCATATTTTTAAAAAATGGTATCATAGCTATAAAGTAAATTTTTATAAACCAAATTCTCTTTATGTTTGCCTTTATAGTTTCTAGTAACTCTATATCCAGGAGTCCCTAGTATTTAGTATCTTGGTAGCTTTAGGCATTGGACATGAATTTGAGATTTTTGTTTCATTCTGAAGTAGAATAATTTAGCTTAACTCAGCTGCTGTATACACCCTACCCTACCTTACCCTCCCCATAAGTGGTGTCTTCCAACTTTCAATCCAGTAACTGCTGAATTAACAAGGCACTAAACAAACAGGTTTTTCCTGAAAGGATGTTGCTGTATGCTGCGCTGATCATTTTTTATAGCTTCACCAGGAAGAGAAAGATGAAAGCTGGAAAACTCAAGTGAATCAAAAGTGCTCACTCCTACAAAAGCTCTTATGCTGTCAAACTGAAAGAGTTTTTAAATATTAAGTCACTGTCCTGTCTATAAATTTCAAGTAACATGCCTGAACCCACTTATGCACATAAACCTCTTTATATGTCTACTGGAACACTAGCCCATATTCTCGGCTCCATGCTGCTCTGCTGTGTATGCGATTAATTTTCAAAGAAAAACACTTAATAAGACTCCTTCTTTTAATCTTCAGAAACATAATTCAAATAACTTCCTAACAAAGGCCCTCTTCAAAAAAAAAAAAAAATCCCTGAGATCAGAAATATACAGGAGAGCTGAAGCCAGAGTACAAGCCTCAGTAGTAGGTTTATAAAACAAGAACAGTGTTAGCTTCCACAGTACTTAAACTATGTATGTCACACCACATTAGAGTGCTTTTAATTCCACAGACCAATAGCTAAATCAGTAGAGGGATGGCATATAAAATACTATGACAATTCAGTGGATACAGTTTCAGAAAATGGGTGAACCGGAATTTAAAAACCCCAAATACATGTATTCTAACCTGAAGTGACTTAAAGCTTTTATGGAATAAAGCATACCGATAGAAGTAAACCTTTTCTACAAAATAGAAAGGCTCCTTCAGAACAAGAAAATGTAAATCAAAATCCTTAACTGAGCAAAGTAGAGACCATTAGCAAGATTCCTCTATGATGAAAGACTGGCAAATGCATTAAACAGAGTATATTTTTTGTTCTAAAATGCTTTGTGAATGGGACTGAATTAATACATTTCTCAATAGAGTCAGAAATTTTGTATACAAACAGATTATAGAAGGGAGACTTAATTTTAAAACTACAGCATTCATGTGTGTCTTCACAAACATTCCACATCTACGTTGGGGAAGAGAAAGCCCCCTTGGCACAGAACCTTCTTGAACTGGGATGAGGTTAAATGTCTGGAGGCCTTTCTCTAGGGGAGGGAAAAAAACATTTTGAGCATGTGAATGCAGTCTACTGCTCACAAAGGTGAAATTCTATTAAATGGGCAATTTGAATTTAGTTTTCATGTCCCAGTCTAAGAATCTATGCAAAAATTGGAGTAGTTTCTACAGAAGCCTGAACACTGTTGCTCAACTTGTTTGTGCCTTCAAGGACTGATTCTACAAACATCCTCACATGTTTGAAGATGAGAGCTTGAAACCTGGAAATGCCTATCAAAGCGAGATTTGTGTGTTGCATAACAAGCAGGGCGTTCCAGTCTTTTAAAGAGTGCAAATATGTAGCAAGAGGAAAGCCTGCACAATCTCGAGGATAGTGCTGCAGTGCAGCTCAATTACTGACAATTCACCATCCTACTGAGCTGCTAGACTTTCAGTGCTGCAAGGAAGAAAATGGGGAGAATTCTTTTGCAAATCTGATGTTACAAGGTAGGTCCACTCACCAAATTGTTTAGATGTCCATGGAAACAGATAACTAAGAACCTACAATTTTCCTTTTCAATATTACAGTTTATTCTTTTAAAAACTAGTAACTTGTCAAATGAGAGGCCAAAGAAACATGACAGTGGCTTTGCTCTTCTGAAAAAGATTTTTGTAAGTCTAATTCTGAAGAGCTAAAAAAATAAAGAATTAGTTAAATGAAAACTTTATCTAGTGGTAAAACCTCAAGAGAGGGAATTAGTGCTTTGAATCCCGCAACTGTAAGAATAGGATCTTGTCTACTTCCCCAAGTGATATTCCTAGACTTTTTTTTGAGATCTTCAAATTAACAGCACTATTAAACTAGTAGGCATCACAAACAGCAAAGAAATTTGTATATGGCCATCACAATACTGAATAAGCTACCTTTACTGTTACAAAAATTGGAACGGATTTAACACAGAATATTATCCTTGTTTTTATCTACGAAAATTAGGTATTTTTGTATCATGGTAAATCATTGAGAGTCATGAAGCAGAAAATTAAAATCAATAAGGTTTGTATAAGTTATTACACGGACATATGCAATACTCATCAATAAAATTGAACACTTAAGTATCACTGCCACAAGATATGCTCTATGGTGTACTGTTGTATTTCACTAAGATTTTGAGTAAAGATACGTTTAAAAAAATCACATTCAAAAATTCATGTTCGTTCTTCCATACATTTGCATTCTGCACCATCTCATAATGAGGGCAACACTCATGAACAGATTTAAATATGAAACTAAATGTTAAATCAAAGGGAGAGCCAGGAACAGACAGTTTATCCAATATCCTAATTTTGTTGCAGGTAGCTTTTGGTACCCAACTAATTTGGATCAAAGAAGATTCAGGTAATCAAAGTCTCAGACAAAACATGATAGCCTGTTCAAAAATGCTTCATACACATGTAGCTACATACATGTATTCCATAATAAGCAAAAACTCTCATGATAAATTTGAGTCAAGAATACAGGCTGAATCATATCCTAAAAAAATGACCAAAAATATAACCAAATTTTACATAATTTTACTCAAAACTGAAGTCTTTTTAAAAAATAAATCACAAAGGTATTAAGGATTTCACATCTCAAAAGTTATAAAAAGCAATTACCCAAAATGGTCTGGAAAACGATCAACATATTTTCTGGATCGGCAGTCCTGAAGTCCTGTTTTGCTGCCCTGCCTTTTTCATGTTCGCCATAGAACATAAGTGATAGGAACAGACTGTTTAACTCTAACACTTTCCTTTTCCTGGCATAAAGAAGTGTCAGACATGGTCTTGACATGTATACCTCCATCTTATGTAAACAGATACCAACATGATATGTAGAAATTATATAGATAAAATATCAGACAGATATATTTGAGAATTAGAACATAATACAAAAGCCACATTCAGGAATCACTTAAGGAAATTACCAAAGTTAATACAAAAAAAGAGCACATTTATATCAGTATATATACACATTTGGGCCTTAAATGCAGCACAAGGACATTCTTGATCTCATTCCGTCACTCTGTACATCAGCGACATGTCAGAATACAAAATGAATTAAACAATGAGCCAAGACTTGCTGCAGTGAGGCTGAAAAAAAGACCATCTCCAGCTGTGTCCCTTTGCTAATGGTCTGACTATATGAATTTGGTATATTAGACACCAGTTCTTCATATTATTTCTAACTCTTTAAAAAAATGAGATCTATTATCACTACACATTTAAAGGTTATTGGGACTCCATCTGATGTTTAAATTGCCAGTGGTTCTGAGTGAAAAGAAATGTTTAATGAAAGTTATTGCCAGCAGCTGCTGCTGTTTTCAGAAGACTGCACAGGCCATGTAAACCAAACAAATTGAATAATTTATCAATGGAAACTGAATTGGTCCTCCCTCTAAATCTACAAGGTCATTAAAAAAAATATAGAGACACACCTTTTTGGGGCTGTAGTTAACTTCAAAACATTTGTCATATTATCTATTGATCTTTCACCCCCAATTACTTCAAAGTAGGTCACATCCTGCTTCTTACACCATGACCAGAAATACTGCAATCATTTTGCAATCTTTACTTTTGCCCTTGACTGAAGATCCTGAAAAATAAGCCACTAGACATTAAAGAAAAAATCTTGTGTTTTGGATCCATCCCAGGAGTTTTTTTAAAAAAAAACACATACGAAAGCTACCAACCCAGGTCTGTGGTCAGATAAGAGAGACAACTGTTACTGTCCAAACGTTGATTGTATATCTGGATCAACATCAGTTAGCTAATTTTAACCTCCACAAACTAGATAAGTTTTCCATGAATTTGAAGTGTCAGACAACTTGCCTCTTGACAGTATAAGGTGTAGCACAGAGCAGGCCAACAACTGACACTAGTTGAGATCTATTTTTAGTAAAGATTTAATATTGTATAACTAATATTGGTTACGACTGCTGGTGGGAAAAAAGTTATGCAGTTCACTGCAAAAAAAATCAGATTAGTAATTTCAGTTGTACAGAAAAAAAACTACGAAAACGTTTAAGTCATGTCACAATGACAGTCCATTACTATTTTGCAACACAAGGCAGCAAACATATTTAAGGATTACCGAATGCTTGTTCTAAACATATAGTGCAATATTATTTTCAAATAGTTCAAATCTTTAAGTGGGAAAGTCAGCAACACTTCATTTCTGCATTCTTTTATAATTTACATTTTTAAAAAGCAGAAACATTTGTTCACCAACTGTTATTGCTTATGGCATGTAATGTTAATTACCATGATGGAACTGAACCTAAATAGCTGTCCCACTAGGCTATAAATAGATATTTATCTGACAAGCACTATTGAAAAAAAATAAATGATTCACAGCTCAGAGATCATGAAGACTGAAATGTCACAGAGTGAATTACAAGTTAGACATGTTCACTTTATTTCAATGTGGTTTCAATCATGCAAATCTGATAACTGAAGTATATTCCAAACAATCAACCTTACTGTTTCTATAACAATTACATTATACACATTTTTTCCATGTATACTAGCACAGTAGATTCTCACCTGAAATGGAAATATGTTGTCAGCTCTATTCAAACTATCTTCCATCCAAGATTTCGGAGCAAAGGCCGAGCTGGGTCGAGCATACTTCTGCAACTGGATATGATTACTTGCAAAATTCTTCTTTAGGGGTGAGATGGAGTTCAGAGGTGTTATCCCACCATTCAGTCCCCTACGGTGGTCTCGCCCTTGGGACCCTCCCCACCCACCATATCCACCACCACCGGGGCTCCATGAAGAAGATGGTGTAGGTGATGGACTTTGGTAGCTGCTCCATGGAGAAGGTGGTTTGTTAAGATTATTAGCCAAATGAGGCAGTTGATTAAAAGCAGCATTTCTATGTGTAAATGGAGGTGGATGAGGGCTTGCAGGCGATCTCCTCTGTTGCTGATGCTGATTGTGATGATGCTGAAAATGGGGATGATGAGGGTGGTGTTGAGAGAGGGGTCCAATCTGAGGGGAAAAGCTACCTCCAAAGCCAGGGCTGACATGATGTGGAAAATTCTGAAATAGCAGAGCACCATTATTAGCTGAGGCAGCAGGGACCCCTCCCTGGTGAAAAAAACTGGCATCTTCATTGATTATTGTAGAAGAAGAAGGAGCTATAGCTGCTGACCAGTTACTAAAACCAGTCAGAGAAGATGCAGTGGATGTTAAGGGTTGAGTTGAAGTACCTAGCCCTGAAGCCTCTTGATAATCAAATCCTGTTAACACTGGTGATTCTATTCTTATTTTCTCTTTCCCATTGCTATTTTCTGAAGAATTGTCTCCCTGATTTTCCTCAGATTTAGTTTTCTCAGGTTCAGGCAGCATGCCTGCTTCCTGACTCTGGCTAGGGGAAAGCTGCTGTTTTTCTAGAGACTCTTGCTTTTCCTGTTGCTGAGTTTTAGATTTTTCTGACCCCAGAAGCTCATCCTGAATATTATGGGCAGCTGGAGCAGGAAAGAGCCAAGCTGACCCAGCACTACTGCCATTGGCAGCTGTGCTATTATTTATAAAAGCAGCAGGACTGGGGGCTGCATTTTGATGATGGTGTGAAGGCTGCAGATGTGGATGAAATCTCACTGGAAAAGCTGACTTACTCCCAGTGTTGTTTTGCACTAACACACCAAACCCGTAATCCCCCATTTATTATATTTAGAATTTTATTTTCTCTTGTAAAAAAAATGATTAGTGTTTCTCTCCTCCACCAAAAACTAGCAAATATCTTGTTTTAATCTAGATATTCCAGTTTCTTCTTCCAAAACACCCAACTGGGTATTTCCAATTGGGATGCAAGTTTGGGTTCTTTCAAAGATAAATCTCTTTAAATATTTAAACGTATTGTCAATTTGCTTCCTTCCCCTGGTTAGAAGGAAAAGAAAAATAAATCTTTGGTTAGCAAAATAAAATGTTTCCTTTTCCTAAAGGAAATGCTCATCAATAGGAGAAAAATCTTCTGAGAACAGGGATAAAGAGATTTTAACTATCCTGTTTTTTACCTCAGCAGCCTTGACTCGGCCATAAACGAGTTAAGAGGAAAAGAGATACAATGACGTATGGTCCCTCCACCTCTTGCAAGGAAAAAAAATTAAGTCTGGAATAATTTAATATATTCTATATAATCTAATATATATTTGTGTCCTGTTCAGGAGTCCTTGCTGTGGATATGGGAAGATTTTACCTCAGAATCTTAGCATTCAGTAGGGGAGTGAATTGTGCAGATGCCTTTTTCTTTTCCTGCTGCTGAATGGTACGCATTTATTGTGTTTATTAATAATAATATATGCTATTTTGTATATGTGTCCTTTAGAGGAGTCTTGTCTTATTGAAGGGGTAAGATTTTTATCTCAAAGTCAGTATTCTGGAGATGGGAAGGGAGAGAGCTGTGCTGGAGAAGGGTGGATTCTTGATGCTGCTCCGGTTAGGTTGGGTTTCTGAGCTTGCCAGGCTCTCCTCCTATTTATGATCCAATATTTGTGTGTCCTTCAGATGAGGGGGGGGGGGGGGGGGAGAAAAGAGAGAAGCAGGCAATGACTTGTGCAGGAAAAGGAGGGAGGTGTCTTGCTGCCGCTTCTAGAAGGGTAGTTTTCTAGTACTGGGCTCGCCTCCTTTTACTGAGATGGGTAGCTCCCTTCAGCTGAGGGAGCCCTTGTATGCAAGGGAGGGTGGATTTTACCTCAGGGACTGGCATGCGGCAGGGCACGAGAGGCTGGTGCAGTGAGGCTGAGCTCACCAGGCCCCTGTTCTCTATGGGGTACCCTCCCCCCCTCAGGAATCCTGGCGTCTGGGAAGGCAGAGGGATTTTACCTCAGGAGAGCAGCCGCCTCCAGCGGGGAGGGGATGCAGCAGGCGGCGGGGGGCCGGGCTCCTCTCTCCCCCATGGAAGGTGTTTAAACGGCTCTCCCAAAAGGCCCGCAGATTACGGGGCAGGGTCACGATCGAGGAGTACAGCAAGGAAGGAAGATCGTCGGAATCACCCGGGGGTGGGGTCCTGCGGCGGCGGCTCCGAAGCGTCCTTTCCCAGCTTTGTGTCCTCGCAGCTCCTGGCGCTTGCCCTTACCCCTCATGTAAAACAATCGAGTTTCGGGGGGGTGGGGGGGGACGCGTGACCGGCTCTGAAGAGTCGGAAGGCGTTTCAGTAATTGGCGAGTCTGGATATTACAGAATCTCTTGCCCGCGGGCGAATCCTACCCCCTGCCCCG